ATCTATCTATCTATCTATCTATCTATCTATCTATCTATCTATCTATCTATCTACCTACCTACCTACATGTGTGTGAGTAAATGTACATATGTATACATTTGGCAAAATCTATATTAAATAATAGTGTATGGAAACTATTCTCATGCTCCTATTGTTCGGGAAGCATGGGGCAAAAGAAGCAAATATCAGTAAATTTTATTGAGAAAGATTAAACTGTCTATACAAATTACTCAGCAAGGTAATTGTTGTCTATTTTTCTTTTAGTGTTTCTGATGTAATTTTAAAAAAGGATATTGGGTTGAATCTCTGTAATAGGAGATTTTAGTTTAAAGACTATCCTACTCTCTTCTTGGATAATGGAAAATAGTAATAACAATTCTTTCTGTATTGGAGACAGAGAATTGTATAATAGCATAGGGGTCTAGTCCATTTCTGACTTCCTCAGCTAGTAGTGTGTGTGTGTGTGTGTGTGTGTGTGTGTGTGTGTGTGTGACTGTGCTGGATGTCACACAAATCACCTTATCATGGGCACTTCCTATGTGCATAAGGAAGGTATAGGTCTCTTGTCAATCCCAGTCTTCCAATGTAAAAACATGCCATCAACAGTATTGGGACTGATAATGTTCCCAAACTCCAAACATCTATTTGTTGAATAGTTATATCATATAAAACTCACTTGTCTTTCTCTTCAAGACAAATATGGTTTTAAAAGACAGAAAAAAAAGAACTTTGTTTTTTTTTATTTTTTTTTTAAAGATTTATTTATTTTATGTGTATGAGTGTTCTATCTGCATTTACATCTGCCAGAAGAAGGAATCAGTTCACATTGTAGATGGTTGTGAGCCACCATGTGGTTGCTGGGAATTGAACTCATGAAACTTTAGAAGAGCAGACAGTGCTCTTAACCAATGAGCCATCTCTCCAGCCCAAAAAAGAACTTTGAATGTAAGAAAAGATGAGAGGTATCTGGGAGAAATTACAGTTAGTACACAGGTTCAAATTAAAAGCTATATTGGGGTCACTCAGTCCCCAAAAGAAGTGTCTAAACCCAATTTGCCAACTGTGATATTTTTAAGTTGGCTCAGGCTAAGCTGGTTGAAATGTAATATTCAACTACAGTGTGTTAAAAGTACAAGTCCTTACTGGGCCACAGAGGATGACAATGCAGCCATTCCTGATGCGATCTGATAGACTAAGATCAGAAGGAAGGAGAGGGGGACCTCCCCAATCAGTGGACTTGGGAGGGGCATGGGTAGAGAAGGGAGGGAAGGTGGGATTAAGAGGGGAGGAGGAAGAGATTTATGGGGAGATACAAAGTGAATAAAGTGTAATTAATAAAAGTTTTAGAAAAAGTACATGTCTGAACATTAGGCTGGAGCCACAGGGCAGAGCCACATGGGTGCAGAAACTGGAGCTACTGTTTCAGTCATCTTAATTATGAGTGGCTGTTAATTCTCAGATGGAGGGAACTGACCAAAGATAAAGCCGCATTCAGATTCCCAAAAATGTGTTCATGACTGCAAAATCAATGACAGACATATAATTATTAGATAAGAGAAATGTTTAAGTGTAAAATTCAAAGACCTGAAAATGACTATAATGTATCAGTACTTAGGGTAGGCCAACACAATGCCACTTCATTGTTATGTGGTTGGTAAAATTTGTTGGTTTTTTTTTCCTCTCCTCTTACAACTTCCCAAAAAAATCTATTCTTTTTTTAGAGTCATTTTCTGTTTTCCTGATTAATGATGCCTTTTGTACATTCAGCTCTGCAACTGTTCTCTGAAGCTGGCCAACAATGTTCTCACCTCACCTATAGTACAAATCTATCAGACAATAAACAATAAACAACATCATTTTTATTCCAGTGCTGATGATACAGTACATGTCCAATTGGTGGTTAAATAATTTATCTCTCTTTCAGGTGCAATCTGCCACGCTTATTGTAACTCTTCTTCTGATACTCATTTCATGTTTAATAGTTCATTCCCTCATGAGGATGCTTGTCAGTCAACTAAATTGAAATGTCATTTTGACCTTTAGTTGGAAATAGTTTACTCATTTCTTCATTTCACTTTTTCTCTGTTATTCAAATTAGAAGCCAAAGTCACTGGTGTTCAAAGACTTCATACTAATTATTCTTGGAAAATGTCCTCCTCACCAATAACATACTGACACTTTCTCATTGCAGAGGTGATCCAGTTGAGTCTGCCTGAAGATCAGAGAGTCAGCATTACTGCAGCCACTGTGGGACAAAGTGCTGTTCTGAGCTGTGCCATTGTGGGAGCTCTGAGACCCCCTATCATATGGAAGAGGAACAACATTGTTCTAAACAATTTGGATTTGGAAGACATCAATGTGAGTACATGAAAGCAGGACGATCTCCCATGTATGCATCTTGCACGATTTGCCTCAATTTCTGTGGTGGCCGAGGAGTTAAAGGAACACTGGACACAGAGGAGTAGACATTTACTAGGTGGTTGTATATCCATTCTACCAGTTGGTAGGTGTCCAACAGAGCAGTTGTAATTATGCAAATCGTTTGTATTGGTACAGTAAGATTATGCAACAGTTTATTAGTGAGAAAAATACATTAGCACAACATTTTAATAAATATCTCTAGTTTTAAAATGCAAATTGTCTCCCTAGTAAATTCACATCTGATAATTATTTCCAAAAACACAGTCACGTAAGCTCAAATTTGCATGGATGAAAATTTGCATCTTCAGAGTCCAAGAAAAGAGAATGTTAAGACGACCAACCATAAGAAGTGTGATAATGTACATGATTGTATGGTGTGTGTGTGTGTGTGTGTGTGTGAGTGTGAGTGTGTCTGCACACCTGTGTATGTGCCTGTTTATGTATGTGTATGCTTGGAATTATTAAAGTTTCGGGAAAAAAGGATTATTTAATTATCTGAAAATAAAGATTTGTGTGTTTATAGAATACATATTTCCTTAGTATAAAATGTTTCTATTAACCTAAAAACATATATTGCTAGTTACAGGCCGTATCTAAGTGTTTTTCTCTGAATTGACTCCCAGCATGCAATGGTACTAAGGATGAGATGTCTTTTTTGTACATATACACACGTACACATGTGAGTGTGTGTTTTTTCATGCGTATTTATTCTAAAGGATTAAGTTCAGGAATAGTCCTTCTCAGCAGATCATCAGAAAATGGCAAAATACCAGGTTCCATTTTTCTAAAATACCCACTGACTCCCTCTCCCTTCAGTAGTCCTTGAAGGCTTATAGCTCTTCAACTAGGACTGGGATATTGTGAGGCCTCTTCCTATCCATACTGAGATATTGATTGGTCTGATTTCGTGCAGGTCTTGTCCAAGTAGCCACAGACATTGAGAATTCATCTGTGCAACATTCCTGCTATAATAGAAGACACTATTTCAAAGCAGTTTTCCAGGTCCTCTGGCTTTTACCCATGCCCCCTTCTGCAATAGTACTTGAGTCTTGTGGCAAATGAGTGCAAATATATTTCCAACTCTATAGTCAAATTATTCTCTACAATTTGAACAGTTGTGAGTCTCTTATCCTAAAACAAGAGAAGCAAAAAGAAGCTTCTTTGACCAATGTTGAGAAGAACACTGTTTTATACATATGAGAATTTGTAATTAGAAAGCAGCTGGGTACTGTGCTTATTTATCAATATGCCAGGAGATGCTTCTTAAGTTCTATGACCTCTTTCTCTTTCCTTCATTTTTTTTCATAAAAAGGATCCTCATGAGGCAATGAACATCTTTCCTCTTACCTTCCTTTTTTCATAAAAGCATAGCATCAAACTACAACACCCATTAAAAAGGTGGACTATGGAGCCATGTGTAGTATCACATATTTAATTACATCATTTGGGGAGGAAGAAGCAGGTAGGTCTCTATGTGTTCAAGATCATGTTTCAAAACTACCTAGCTAAAAACTTAGTTATATTGTATTTTTTGGAAAAAAAATTGTATCTTTTTACATTTATTTTATTTCATTTTCTTATTTATTTTACATTACAAGGGTCAGCCCCTCTCCCTTCCCCCTCCCCCCCAAACAGTGTCTTTTATTGAGTCTTATATCCTATATCTCTCTTGGTTATCTTAGTCCTCTTTCTTCTCTTCTTTATACGTATTTCAAAGAGCATGGATGTCCTCAACTGTGCCTAAGACTATATATTTACTGTTAAGTTACATATTGTGCTAAGGACGGCTAGGGTTTTCCAGAAAACACTTGGCTCAAGTTTATGCAATAGTAATACTCGAAGAACTTGAAGTTATTGTTTAGGTCAAGCCGGTGTTCCTTTAGGAAGCATGCTGTCATATCTGCATAACAACCTTTTATGTCTGGAGAATATCATTTAGTAATTCCTCTAAATGGTCTGGCCAAAGTCTTGAAAAAGCTAACTAGTGTTTTTGGTTTTCAAATTATCTAGTTCAGATAAGTTGAATTAACAGAAGGGAGGCAAAACTAGAAATAGTTCTATCTTCGGGAATGTGCAGGGAGGTGATGCAGAATTGGCAGATAGACATGGCAGTCACGTTTGAGGACTGAGAGTCATTGTGTGATCACTGTAGGGGCTAAAACCAGCACTATCACAATCAACAATTCCTCAGAGACCACATGTTCTTACTTTCTTACTGTGCTTCATTGGCCTTTAAGTTAGAGACAATGGATTTATCAACCATGCACGGTCTTGCATGTACCTTATAGTATCAATGGCTGCCTTGCCATTCATTAATATACACTGTATTTTCACATAGACTGAACACTGAAGTAAAGCTAAATTGTGTAACCTAGATTACAATGCAGGTTTGCCATTTTTCACTATACATAATAAATTTAATACAGAGAAACTTTTGTGTAAAATAATTGGTAGATTCATGTTAAATTAGTGATATATAGCACAGAACTATCTACATATCCAAAGATTATTTTCTACTTTGACAAGAATCTGAATAGAATATGGTAATTTTGATCATATATAGTTATATTTTTTATAAAATACTATTATAATTTATATTAATATGATTTTCAACAACTTTACAAGTGGCACTAGACAAACATAGAATGTTTGGGTAAAATCACACTCACTATATATTATATTTTATTTAAAGTATTATATACTTATACACAAGCCTTCTTGACTTTCTGCCATTCATCTGAAACTGGTTGACTTATGCATTGTTTTCTAAGTCTGACTCTCTACTGGTATGATATCCAAATTAAGTCCTTTTTCTACAAAAGATGCTCTGGATTATTTCAGTAGTGTCCTAAGTTTTAACTCACAAAATCTGAAGCAAGTTATAGACATAAACAATGTCTATTTCTATTCCTTGGCCATTTTTTTCATTCACTATCTTGTTCTGTGTATCAATCTAAACTAGGTCAAGAGACTTATAGTCATCTGAGCACAAGTGAGTACAAAGATATTGCTGGACGGATTGTCCTGCAAACACCTGAAGCTCTGCCTTCTCTGACATTCCAGGATTGTATCTCTCATCTTTATGGACTTCTTAAAGTTTTGTGAATACTGTAATGGCTGCAATTACCAAAATGTATTTTACCACCCTAGATTCTACACTGAACATCACAAAACAATTGAAAGGTTACCTCTTCTCCTTGAAAGAGTCTTTCTGGAAATATCACAAATTTATACTATCTTTTTGTTTGTTTTCTGCACTGGTTAAATATGATTAGCCACTTGGCTTAAACCTTAGCAACACTAAATGTCATTTCTTTCATTAAGTTGTACAAGAATTCATTTTTTGATGTGTTTTCGTTATCCAACAGGACTTTCCGTAAATACTGGCCCCCATTGCCTTGTGGATGATATTTCTTTCCTTGGATTACTTTCTTTTTTTCACCCTATAGACACTGAGTTTAATACATCTGTCAAATAAAACTAGCTTAACTAGAATTTGTACTGTTTCAAAAGAAGTATAAATCATTTTGTGATTAGTTTGGGAAAAGAAAAAATGCAAATGTACTAATTTACCACTGGAATACTGGACTGGAATGCAGATATCACTCCCTGGATAGATTTTTGGAATTTAAATCAGACAAAATATATGCCTCTGGGCAACTGAAAATCTGTTTTATGATTATCTCTGCTGATTGTCACCTATCAGTAGAGCCTACATTGGAATTCAGTCATTTTCTTTCCTGACTTTAGTAGCTAACATTTTATAGACTCTCATTGGCCTGAGCTATTGATTTCTCTGATCCGATTGAGGCTCTTTCTAAGATGTGGCAGATCTGCTCATGGTCTGAAACACTGTCTTCTAACTTTTGTAGCTATAAAATATTATGTCAAGTGGGCATTCAGGAGCCAATTAGTCTGTAATAGAAAATATGTAGTGTGTGAGAATTTAGATAGCACCTGATCAACAAATGTTATTCTTTCTGCCTTAGAAGAGGGGCTTGATAATGAGAATACGGAGGTATTCCGTACTGGATGTCTCAACTGTAGAAACAGTATGCTCTTCCAGAGAGAGAATGACAGATTTTTCATCGTTGTATATTGCCTTTTTTAAGGAGATGTCAACTAAAATGATATGCACCTCAGGTCGAACAAATCCATGATTTTTCCCTGTCCTACTTTGCTATTTGTTGGATGCCATTCATAAAGTCATGTGGTTTAGCAAGGAAAGAAGTGCTGAAAGCTGTGGACTCCAATTGTACTTTCTTTTCTTTTCTTTTTCTTTTTTTTTTTATTGTGGTAAAAAGATGCATTCTGAGATCAATCTTCCTAAATTTTTAAGCGCACAATAAAATCTTGCTAACAACAGGCACAGTATTTTACAGCACATCCCTGGAACTTATTTATTTTCCATAAGAGACCACTGGTAATAAGTCTTTCCTCTCCCACGGGCCACAAAGATGATTATTTTACACTATATTTCTATGATCTTGACTTTTGTAGCATCCTCATAAAGTGGCATCATGTGGAGATTATTTTGTGACTGCCTTATTTCCGTAAGCATAATGACCTTCAGGTTTATCAATGTTGCTTATTATAAGAACTAAAAATGGCATGCCTTCTCTCTTTCATCTACTTAATGATTTCATCTACTTAATAATGGTGTCTTAATTAGGGTTTTCAATTGCTGCGACAAAACACCATGACTAAAAACAAAGCTGGAGAGGAGATGATTTATTTGGCTGTTCATCACTGAAGGAAGTTAGGACAGTGATTCAAACGGGGCAGGATCCTGGAAGCAGGAGGTGATGTAGAGCAGATGAACGGGTGCTGCTTACTGGCATGCATCACATGGCTTGCTCTGCCTGCCTGATTTCTTATAGATCCCAACACCAGGGATGATGCCACCCAGTATGAGCTGGGCTCTCCCCCATTGGTCA